AATATAAAAATTTAATTTATAAATAAATATGATAAATAAAGAATTAAAATAGATAAAAAAATTATTAAAATCTCTAAAATTTCAACAACGACACAAGAAAGTCGTTTAATACATAATAGTCAATATTAAATTATAATTGTTAAATATATTATGTTATTTGTTTAATTTATTAATATTATTCTTTAAAATCACAAAATCCATCGTCAATATAAAATTTGTATTATTTTTAATTTATTTTAATATAATATATATTTAGTACAATAAATATATTTTAAGTTTAAATATGTTTTTAGTCCCTCAAAATTTAAGGTAAATTTAGTTTTGGTCCCTCAAATTTAAAACTGTTGTTTTTAGTCCCTATAATTTTTAAAAATCTTATTTTAGTTCCTTAAATCACCAATAACATATTTGAAAGTGACTAATTACGACAGTTATGCGATATTAACCAGATTTAATGTAATGTTTTCACTAATAAAAATATCAATAGGTAAATTTTATGTAATAATGTTTGATAAATTTCTTAACAAAATTTGAATATAAAAATTAAAATAAGATTTTTTAAAATTATAAGAACTAAAAATAATAATTTTAAATTTAAGGAACCAAAAACAGATTTACCTTAAATTTAAGGACTACAAACATATCTAAGGCTATATTTTATAATAACCAACAAAAAGATATAGCTTTATCCTTAAAGAAAAAAACTGATTAAGTGGGAGGGAATATACCTTCTGCTTATAAAATAAAAAATAAAAAATAAAAAACCAAAAAGCATTACTATTATTATAGGATAAATATTTAAACGCAGGTTTTTGCTTTGAGGCTCCATCTTCGAGGTTATGAAAAGGCTGTAAACAAAATATAACGGTTTTTCCAAGTTCCAAAACTCTCTCCTGCTCAATCTGAGTCTTCTCCAGAGGTAACATTTTGAGGCTCAACTTTGGTAACCACCATGTTTAAATTTAATAATGAAAAGTGGATTCTTTTTGAAAAGTATGCAATGCTTCTCGAGCATGAATATGAAGAATGAATCAGAAATTCAGAATTAAATAATCAGACCCATTAATTATTTTAAATTTCTTGTCAAGTTTATTAGAGCATGTTTAGTTTAGGAAGTATTATAATATCAAATTTTACGGCTGTTTGTAATTTGTATTGTATGCTTGAGTGATAATTCTTTAAATTTGTAAATAATTTTTTTGAAAAATTAGCTCTTGTTTTATAAAAAGCTGAATATTTGAAATTTCTCAACAATTTTTTTAAGTTGATGTATTACATAAAATTGATTTCTTGTTGTTTTTAAGCGAAATTAAACATCTTATAATCATTTTTCGTCAAATTTATTCAGACAAAATTTGATTTTGATTATAATCAATCACAATAATATTGATTGTTCGTAGATTATTAAAATAATCTAATTTTTCATGAGTTTTCCAAACTCACCCTATGGTATGTTATTTCACCTTCTGATGTCTTTAGGTGTGTAATATAGTTGAACTGAGATGCATGCACTTTTATAATGTTGATCCTAATATTTACTCTTTGATGAAACTTGGGATTGATTTAGTCTGAGAAGATGGGGGATCATGGTGCACACATCGATCGAATCAGTGACTTACCAAGGAATTTAATTGATGTCATTCTACAACACTTGCCAATCGAAGATCTAGTTAAGACAACTATACTGTCAAGGAAATGGAGGTATATGTGGACTTCTGTCCCACAACTTAAGTTCAATAGTAATTTTTTTAGCAAGTGTGAGGATCTTGGATGCCTTGAAACTTATGTTACTGTTACGAAGCTGCTTCTTCTCTATGATGGCCCCATGCATAAGTTTATTCTTGAAATCCCTTCAAACTTCCCAATCCAAAGGAAACTATTCAATGAGTGGATTCTGTTTTTGTCAAGGAAAGGTGTTAAACATCTTGAACTTGTAAACCTTGCAAATTTACGAAGAGTTCCCTGTCAAATGCCATCTCATATCTTCTCTTGTCAGGAATTGACTTACCTTAAACTTCATAATTTTGAACTGTCAACTAGTCTTGATTTTGGTGGCTTTAGAAATCTGGTGGAGCTTCGGTTATATGTAATTGTGTTTGAGTCGGATGCACTTGAGAGTCTTATGTCTGGTTGTCCCTTACTTGAGAAGCTCATCATTTTTCACTGTTCTGGTTTCCAACATGTAAATGTCCATGCCCCTACTCTCAAAGTCTTTCACGTATATGATTCTGAGGTTATCAAGTCGATTAGTTTGAAGCATAAACATAATCTGATTGAGCTCATACTCTCGGCTAATACACTTGTGAATAACGTTGAGGGTGGCTGGGTATGTGATTTGCTGAAAGGTTTGCTGAAAATTGAGAGGCTCTGTCTGGGAAGAGGTTATTTCAAGGTAAGAAAACAATGACAAGCATCTGAGTCTATTCATTTTTGTTTGATTGAATTTGGTTTGTCAACTTTTGCATTAGTATGTTTTACTTGTTAGAGATACTCTACATGGAGTGAATTCTCCACAAGTGAAGTTGTTGTCGGTATATTAAAACCAAGGATTAACAAGCAACATGTAAAGCATGAAACTTCGTATTCTTGTCAAGAGTTGACATTATTTGTCCTTGCTTCTAGATACATATCTTGGTTTCCCTATTTTATTCTCTAAAATTGTTATTCATCTGATATTTTGGTTAATAATGGAAACAAATTAAGTTGCTATTTCCTTCATGAACCAAGATTCCTTATTTGATGGCTTGTCTTGTATTAATGAACTGTATTCTAGCTGGATGTGTTCAAATATATCTCACAACTGTGTTGTTTTTATGTTTAGATATTTTCTGCTATCAATCCACCAGTGCTGCTTCGGTCATTCAACACTTTAAAATATCTTGAACTGGGAGATGTGAATTTCGATAAAGTAGAAGAGCG